TGGATGGGGATGCCCCCCCCCCCGGAAGTATGGGTTTTTTTTTTTTGCTTTTGCGAACTGGCTTAGGGTTGGGTTGTGCGTTGACGCTTCTGTCAAAAGCGCAGATGGATTGTTTAGGTATGTCCAGGAGAATTTTTGGGGAGGGGGGCCCTTACCCGGGGGCTTCTACTAAAGTGTCCTTCGCAGTTACCCCTCCAACCATTTTTTCCCGCCCGGCAGGGATTTATGGGGCCCGGGCTTTTGGGGGGGGGGGGGGGGGGGTAATGTTGAATGTTGTCGCTTGTATGTAGCCCGTGCGTTGGGACAGGCAGCGCGTCAGAGGGAGGGAGGAGGGTCGGAGAGCACGGCTGCGAACGAACGAGGTGTTTCGAAGGCTGCGACAGAGGCGTTTTCGAAGGCAACGGGAGTAGGAACCCTTGGCGAACAGGCCTTGAGATCCTCGAGAGGTCCTCGAGAGGTCCTCGAGATGTCCTGTTGCGGAGCAGATCTACGCCTTCGTCATCGTGTTTTCCAGAGAAACACACGTTGCATGGCGGTTTCAATAGTGTCAGAGCCAAGTGCCGTTCGTTTTTTGCTTTTGTTTGGCCCTTTTGTCCAACCCGGGCTACCCCCGTAGTAGCGTAGGGGTCGACTGGTATACAACGATGGCCCGTTGTGGGTACTGTATAGATGGGACGGCCGGGGGGAGGTCCTTTGCTTGCGTGACTAGTGAACGTTTGGGAGTGTACTTACGGTGAACATCGAGAGCACAGTACCGCCAACAGAGTAGAGCAGACGAACGTGAATCATGGTTTTTCTGTTGTGGGGGGCTATCGCCCCGTAGACTATGGGGAGGGGATAGGGGACACGACTGAATGGCGTCCTGTTGAAAAGGCGGGAGTGGGTCCGAGCTAATACGTGTCGTTCGTGCAAACTGTTTGTTGTGTTGGGAAAAGGCAGGGGGGGCAGGTGTGTATGTATGCATCCTCATTTCACACACCAGATACTGTTGTAAGAGATGTGGAAGAAGGCAGTCTTGAATTGGTCAAGAAAAATTTTATCAGACTCATTTCATAACCTTTTAAGTCCCATTGGAAACCGCTCTTGCGAGATGCTATTAGTAGGTAATGGGTGGTGTGCGGCAAGTCACTTGTCGAGGTTTCCGCTGAGAGCATTCGATCGAAACGATTACTATCTATCCTGGAAAACGTTGGGCGTGTGGGTGTATGTCGGTATGCGCCTTGCACAATGCGTACTTTGTTCTGACGGGCGAGTTGCCGGTCCTCTGCGTGGGTCGTGTTTGTTGTGTGTCAAACCGTATTTTCGCCTATAATGAGGTACATGTATGTGTACTAAATATGTAGGCAACGACGTCGCAGGAAATAGGTTTGGACGGAGAGCTTAGTTTAGAACTTTGATTCCTTTGCGTTCGGTCTTGAGAGAGGCAAGCACGTGTTGTGCGTTTGTGTCCGCCGGCATTTCGACGTGTTTGCTCTTGCAGTAGTCGTCCTGGTGCTGGGGATGGATGGGGGGAACGAGTTGTCGCGGCGTGAGAAGACCAACGAAACTATTGTTACAACGGCTTCGTCCGCTTTGTCGAAATAATACCTACCCAGACGACGACTCAGCACAGCCGTGGCGGGGTTTTGTCGTATTATTATGGAAAACATGATGGATAAAGCATACAATCGGGGAAAAAAAGAAGTTGGGTTGGGTTGGGTTGGGGTGAGGGTTAGGGAATAGGGTCTGCGTTCCCCCTCCCTGTTCTATTTCCTCGTAAACTTTTTTTTTATTCCCGCGACGACTGTTGTACGTTCGTGTTGATCCAGTAGGTGCGGGGTTGTCCTTCTCCTCAAGAAAAAAAAAAAACACAACCGCTACCTCTCCGCTCCGCTCCGCTGTCTGTCGTCGTTCTTGCATGAATGAGTGCGATGTCTCCGGTGGCACTCCGAGTTTGTTTCTCGACAGTCTCTTCCAAGATTTCTCTTCTTTCCCGACGCCCGAGACATCAGATCAGCGCTGAGCCCGCACAAAGAAAGCGTTTCTCAAGCTTGTCGTTGCACACACACACGCTCACGTTTGTTTTGTCCTATTCCCCGTGAGGGCCAAACGCCCCGCCCGCTGTTTCCGACCCACGACACACACAAATCGACGAATGATGCATGCACCCGCAACCACACCATGAAGGAGAGGCGGAGAGGCCGTGCACCTTTCTTTTTGTCGGGTCAGATCTTCGGCGCCAAACACGTTGTTCTTGAATCGTGGGCGCCAGAGTTTTGAGTGTTATCATCCTATTACTGGAGAGACCTGGCGGACGAATTTCCCCATTTTGTGAAGAGCTTTTCGTACCACCGTAAACTGTCCACCGAACGCTGCGAACATTCGGCCGTATCTCGAGTATGGGAAGAAAGTGCGACCCCGGAGGCACGCTTCATCCCCCCCCGCGTTGTCTTGAACCGATAAAAGTAGCTCGGTCCGCGTAGCCTCGAGCACGCTGAGCGCTCCTCACCACGTACCACCAAGAGAGGGAACTTAGCCTCTGCTGGTGGGGACGGTCAAACCCCACCCGAGCCTTTCTCATCAAACTTAACGTGTGTACGGTACGTATTATGATAATGATAGCACGACCACATATGCCCATGCTATAATACAGTATCCTGTCAGGTGGGCAGGGCTAAGATCCCTAGGCCACGACCAGCAAACTACTGTAGATTCACCTTCTTCCCCTGCAAGAAGAGTGCTCCAAAATCGCTCCCCCGTCCTCCCAACACATGCTTGACACACAAAACACCGACGGCTGAACAAGCCGGCACAACAGCCAACACCACCACCAAGCAAACAACAAACCATAAACCCTTTCCTGGAAGATATATGTGGAGAAAACGCTAAAGTTATCGCTCTCTCTCAAAACCATAAACCTCTCCCTGGAAGATGCGTGTGGAGAACACTCAAGTTATCGACCTCTCTCCTCCTGTCTAGCCTAGCCCCGCGATTTCTTCTCGGACAGGACCCACACCCTACCCTCCTCGGCGCCGACGAACTCATCAAATAATCTTCGAGGACGTGTAGCAGCAGCAGCAAATCATACACAACGGCAACGAGATTCTTGCTGCCGCTGCCGTAGACAGACGTTGTGATCTCTACTGCCGGATAAAAAAAAAGCGCTCGGCCGAGTCGCACGGCGAGAAGACTCGAACCCGCACCCCTCCCCGCCAACGCCCTTGCGGAAATCCCAAGAGACAAAAACGCCCCGAACGTACCACGACTGATATTCGCAGTCGCGGAACCCCGCCCGCGCCATATATATATATACCCCCATCCCCCCGTCTCCAGGCCAGGCGTTTTCTTCCCCGTCTCGCCAGTCGCCGCCCTGTGGTTAGCAACCCCGCCCCGAAACTCCGCACTCGGAGAAAACGGGGTGTGTGTACAAA